TCTTCCTCAGTAGTACCAAAAAAAATCCCTGTTGTTCTTAACCTGCAAAATAGTTGCAATCTTAAAATATTCTCCTTGACAGCCTTATATAATGATGTGCCAGCTGGAAGAGGAAGAAATGCAGCTAGAGTAATACGAGCACTTGAGAAAAACTTCACTTTTCTCCAGGAACATCTGCTTTGCTGGTCCACACAGCTCTACATGTGATTTAATTTTACTCTGTTTGGTAAGAAGTCAAGACCTTCATAACTTTGAAGACTATACAGGCAGTTGTTCTGTTTTACACAACATTTACTCTGAACAAGAGTGCAAAATGTTAATAACAGAAAGAGGATAAAAGTTAACAACTGAAAATTGCAAGAGAAAAGGATAATTTGCTTTGGTTGTGGCCTAATCCCTCTAATCACATATGGCAGCTTGCCATTTCTTTCACAGGGCTTGGAAACTGGCAGCAGTGTCTACAAATGTCAATCTCTGTACCTATTAGGGTTTACTGTCATTAGGCCAGTGGTTTCAAGAGGATGTGGTCTCTGGAACAAGAGGTTCATAAATTAAAGAGAAGCCTCAGAAAAACACACCTAAATTTTTCATTTCCCGGTGACCACTGTTCATTGGACTAACTATAGATGCCATGCCATTTATTTCACATTGCTGTAAGCATAAAACTACTAAAAAAAGAAAGAATTTTGAAGCAGCTTCAAAATTAGATATTCTAGAAAGTTAATATCAATAACATCAGCATATTCCATTATAAATTCTGAGGTTCTTCAAACCTAGTTTTATTTCCTTGCACTTCATACCATTGGCACTTTGTTGTGGTTAAATCCCAGTAGGCACACTGTTTTAATTAATAATAGTTCATTTGCAAGAATGTAATTCTTCCAGTTGATAATTATTTTCATCAAGACTTGCAACACAAAGAATATTTTCTCAGGGTAAGGGACGTGAAATATAATAATGAAGGTGGCTCAATCCTCTAGATCTCTGAAGGCAAAGCAGTGTATCATGTAACAATTATTCTCATGTCCCTTTACAGAGGGACATGACTCCCTCCAGAAGCAGAAGTGTGACAATGAGAGTTTGTGAGATCCCCACTTTCTCATTCCTCATGTCAGCATTGGCATTAGACCCGCACAGGGTCCAGCTTAAGAGAGAGTTTATGTCTTGTTTGAAAACAGATTTAAGTAAAACATTTAAGAGAGATTGGAAGAAAACTGATTACTTGGTGGGAAGTTATCCAACATACTTCTGCATTTAATGGCTAGCTCTTTCTGAATGTTTTCCCCATATAATTAAAAGACAGATTCAAATCCTAGCAATAAAATTTCACAAGAAACAGCTAAAAGATTGCTCTCCCAAAAACCCTGACATTCATCATGCAAGTAACTGGTTCCTTAAAAAAAGATTTGTTAAGATGCCAATGGCTTCCTTTTATTTTACAGGAAAGAAGTGCTCACCCTCTTCTTCAGGAGACTTGCCATCTTAAACATATGGAATCTGTATGAACTTAAATCTTCAGTATGGAAGATAAAAGTGAGATGGGGACAGCAGCACCTCCATTCCCTTCTCACAAACTTTTATTGCAGAGTGCAAAACACTCCTGCTCTTCCTCTTACCCACAGCGTCTTATAGAGAACATTTGCATATAACCAGAAGCTGCTGAATCCTTTTCTTCCTTTTCCCCATTCTTCAAAAAAATATACTTATTGTAGCTTGAGGTTTAGCTTTCCCTGTGCTAGGCCAGTGAGCATTGTTTCTTGATTCAAGTCAAACAAAAACATCCTTTATGTACTATGCAGTTCTTTAAAAATGGCAAAACAAAAACGATAGAAAAAGGCTAAAGTGGCAGAGTTGCCCCAGGCAGACCATGCTTTGAGGATACATCTCCCTCGTTCACTTTATGCTTTCCTTCACTTAGATGCTTGTAGCTATAAGAAATCTAAAAGGCACTTTCACAAAAAATATTGTAACAACAAGGAGTCTCTGCCTGGCTTCAAATTTTTCCTGTGCTACTGGAATTTCAAGAAGGCAACTAACCCTATATTCCACTCTTTGCTTAAAAAAATCCCAGATTCTGTGGGCAGTTTTAGCTCACAAATTACATCATATAACTAGTGATGTACTTTACTTTTTCTTCCTAGGCAGGTGTTCACAAAGGCCTCATTGTACTCATAAGATGTTTTTCTAAATTAATTCCCTTGATATGTACTGTCAAAGAGCAGTGCTGTGGAATTAAGAAAAATCCCTGTTGTTAAACATACTGTTCTTGGTTTTAGCAAATTTTAGCCTTTAGCAAATCAAAGTTACATTGTTCTCAATGTAGAGATGTTGACAAGCCTAGATACTGGAGATTACAGGGGAACTGTCCTACCTCTAACCTGCTTCTTTGCTCTCTTACTATTTAGCAAGTACTTGGGTACTTTTTAGCTAGGACTCTGTTCTGGAAATCATACCACTCAAGAATGGAAGTTTGCAAAACATTGCAACTAATTAACAACTATTTCCTATCAGTGGCTACTGGGAAGTGACACATTTCCTGCAATCTTGGTTAGATAATCTTTTCTATATGAAAGTGAAGAACTGAGCTGGAGTTTACAGAGTCACTATGTAGTCCTCACTCTTCACTACTGCAGTCTTTCCAACAGAAGGACTTTATTAAGGGGCTAGCAGCACTCATGCAAAGATATACGTTATAAATAGCAAACATGGATTTACATTCAAATACTTAGGCTAATGCTCACTCTGTTGAGCTGATAGCAAGACATTTTGTAAAGAAGTTTCAGTCTTGGACACCAATTGGAAGACTCTTAAGTATACAGTTTCTGAAGAAACTTTGGAAAGGTTTATTTCAAAGCCTGTCCACATGACTTCTCTGATGATGTCTATCTTACTGCTGTTGGAATCCATTAGTCAGTATCTGTTGCATCCCTGTGACTTTAAGAGTGCCCACTCTCACTCCTCATTGGAGTCAAGGTGATGAGCTAGTTGAGCAAGAACAGCCACCGTCGCTGATGGGCTGATTTTGCTCCACTACGTTTGTAAAACTAGGAACCTGGGGGTTAAAAAGTTGCCCCTTCTATGCATGCTATGCATCTGCTCTAAAGCACTGTCACAGCCAGCTGCTCAGGCTGCTGGTGGTAGCACGTTTCCTCTGCAGGAGGGTGCACAATACAGCTTTGTGGTACAGGTTGAGCACAAAACTGCCAAATCAAGAAAGCAACATCACCTTTGCCTCCCCTGGGAGAGGCCACCAGTCTCAGGTTCACCAGAGCAGCCTGCCTATAGTCCAACACAAAACTGAGATCACACAGAACATTGCAAAAGGCACTTCATCATTCTCAGGCACTTAACTTTACAAACAAATAGCAGTGGAAAACAAAATCTTCCCTTACTCACCTAAAACACTATCTAGTTTGTCACTGCAGCCCCCCTACTTTTCAGCCACCAACCTTGTTACTAACAACAGCTCTGTTTAACTGAGTACTAATGGGCACAAAAAGCCAGTGAATAAAACAAGCCCTTTGGCTGTCCTTTCTCATGAGATGACTGAATAACCACTGACCAGTCACTGACCTTGGACGCTCACTCATTCAAGTTTTTAAGGTTAAAATTACCCACCTAACAATTGATGTAATCTGAAGGCTACTAAGAAAGTTTGCGTTAATTAATCTGGTCCTTGTTACAGTAACTGAGGCACACACCTACCTGAAAACAGGGCCTTACACAGAATCCAATTACCAGCAGAAAACACATGCCAGAGGAAAGAGTGTTCTTTAGGAGTCCTGCAGTCATAGAAACAATAAGTAAGCTAAAGTGGGAGATGGGAGAAAAAACACTTTGGCAAAGTTTCCAGGTAAGTTAAAGATCAGAAGGGTTAAAGACAAAATCTAGCCTACAGTCTGCAAATACAACTAGTTAGAATTGGGTCTCATCACTAAAATTAGCTTAACCTTTGCAATGAAGTTTATTTCAGGGTTATTGGGTTTTGTTGTCGGGGTCTTTTTGGTGGTTTTTGTTTGTTTTTTTTTTTTTTTTTTGTTTTGTTTTGTGTTTTTTTTTTTTTTTTTAATAGATAAGTTTTAAATAGCTTACTATAGGTCCCTAGTAAGAGGAAAATCATTCATCTTTCTGTGCATAGCAATGTTTTAATGGTTAGCTCCATAATATTAATATTCCTTCTGGTAGCAGGTTCATTCTGGCTAAGTCGAAACCAGCAAGCAGCAACATCAGTCCTCCTTAATAGTGATATTAAATTGCAAGAATAACAGGAAGTCTATCAGCCATGAAAACTTCACTCACAAGATTGTTTGCACTGCTGGGCTGGGCTTTATCACACAAAACACAGTCTTTTCCCTGGCTGGTACCCATTTCACTGAATATTTATGGCCAGATCCAAACAGAACAGTCAGGCACTGAAAAGCAAGGTGTGCTATGATGCAAGGAGTCTGAAAGGGCATGGTGAGAGCTAAACTGAGTTGCTACACCTGAGAAGTGAGGAGCAGGAAGCAGTTTCTAGCAGCCTACAGCCATACTGGGTGAAGTATGGTGTCAAATCACACTGCATGAATGGTATTTGCCCTGTAAATGCTGTTGAATAACGCAGGGATGGGAAAGAGGGAGCAGAAGATTGTGATTAAAATTGTTTCTCGGACACAAGCAGCAAAATTGAGTTCAGAGTTTGTGAGGCTGGGGTTTGGAATACAGTGCCTGTCCCTGAACAGGTATCTAGCTTTGTAGGAGTGGCTCACTCTTTAAGAGCATAGCTATGCAAGATGTAAGTTCCATCTTGCGCAATGGCTACAGCACATACCCAGGAAGCAGCCAAAACCGGAGCCCCCAGAATCACTTAACCCAAGAGGATTCACACTCACATCCCCTTGTTTACCAAAATATATGACAGTGTCTGAAGATTTCACTTGGTTCACTTCCCAGGGCTGCATCACCAAGAATTAAACCACCCATCTCACAGACTGACTATTAATTTAAAGTGATGTCACAACCTTGCAAGCAGAAACAGGAGCCCAGGTCGGCTTTCTTTCAGTCAGGCCACCACATCGCAGATCAAGCTCTCTCTCCTGACTTCCCTCCTCATCCAGCCAGCCCTTGCTGCACAGCAGTCCAGTTCTGAGAGAGCAGAAGGAACAGGAGAGTAACCCAGGGATATTTTTAAACCAGGTCTCTTGATCTCCAGAGAAGTACTGTAATCACTATGAAACAAGACAACATTTATGACATTTCCACTAACATAAATTATCCCAAGCTCAAAAAAAAAAACCAAAACAAAACCCAATCAAAAATAAACAACAAAAAACCCTAACCCATAACTCAAAGAGCTGCATACTCATGTAATACCCAGGTGGAATATAAGCAACCTGCAAATTCAGCAAGGTAAAAAAAAAAAAACAAAAACACCAAAACAAAACCAAAAAACAAACAAACAAACAAACAAAAACACAACCAAAACTTTAAGTTTTGTGTGAGCAGGACCAGAATAGAAGGTCAAGAGTTCACTACTTCTAGTTGTTTGATAGATTTCTGCCTGGGACTTAGACATGTACCTTTTGCTTATGGTGCCTAAAGTGCAATTACACAGGATTTTTGGACCTCACCCTTAATTTTTCATAACTGTTATTCTATTTTTAATGCTATTTTTGAAGCATATAAGCCATTTAAACTCAGTAAAGAAGAAAAGCATGGGAATAGATTTTAACACCTAAAAATCTGATGGTCTATAACCATTTCTAACCCAGGAGTTCTTGAATACTCTGATGTGCTTCTGGAGCTCTAGTTACAGTCTGTCATCCACTTAGCCTGTACAGAAGTGAGTCAATGTCAATTGCCATTCAGAATCAGACACTGGGCAGGCAATTTCATATGGAAATTACCAATATTCAGTTCGATCCTTTTGCAGAACAAAGGCATCTGGCAATCAGTCTAAAATATTGTTCTGCTAGTTATTCTCCTTTTTTCTTATCTCTATTTATATACACATATAGAGACAGAAATGCAGAATTTCCTTGACTGGGAGAGAGAAAGAAAAGAAAAATTTACTTTTAGAAGATTTATACTACAGAGGAAAAGGAGTATAGCAAGACAGTTGGGGGGGCAAGGGAGGAAGTCAAGTTGTTCATTAATTTGGTCTATATGCACAGGATATTGAGCAGGTTTCAGATCAAATATAGTCTGTCATTATCATCCAGATAAAGAGCTATAAAATAAGAAGAAGGGAGAAGTATTCTTTTCCTCCATCTCACACATACATTATACCTCTTCCCATTGCTGTTCTCAATGCAATAAAGACTCAAGTTACATAAAGCAAAGAAACCTTATACCATGAAGTGCGAATCCAGCACTGCCAGTTGCTGTACCCAGGTGAATTGGAATGACTCCCTACCACAAGAATGAAGCACGAGTAAGTCTGTTAAAATGAGCTGTCACTCACTTCATGACCAAATAAGCTTAAGAACTGGAGACTGCTAATACAGCAAATGCAACATCACTGGCTTGACATACCATAAAGTATGAGTGCTTTGGCATTGGAAGATCAAACTAAGGAGCCTCCTTAAGTTGACTTATGAGTAACCTAAACCAACGGACTTTAAATGCAACAGGTGATGGACTTTAAGCACCAGAAGCTTTTAGCAGCTATCTGTTAGCCCATCCTGGATGAAGAGCATTTTCTGTGCAGAGAAAAATATTCTTTACTATGATTCAAAACAAGTCGTTATTGAATAAAGACTAACTTCTGTAGGAAAGAAGAACCATCACTTTTAATTAAAGAAAAGAAAAATTAAACATTTTTTTTTCTACTTAGAGACTACAAACTACTTTTATGGTTCCTTGTAAGTAATGTTTTCTCATCAGTTTTTTGTTTGAAGTCTGTTCTATTCCTTTCTGTCATAAGCACAGGGAACAATTCAGGATAGAAAACAAGAATTTCCTTTGACTTTATCCCACTGTTTAGCTTCCTGGTTACACTCTTTTTCTAGATGCAACAGTTAAAATCTCACCTTCTGTGCAATCATCAAAGGTTTTCTCCAAGTACTAAATTGGAGCAGTAGTTTCACCTGGGAATTTGGCAAGTATCTCGTGAAGAATAATGGGAATTTACTCCAGAGAGTATATCTGCCCATGGTGTCTACCTAGTGCTTTAGAGAAAAGAAAAATTTGCTTTTCTGTCATTCATTTTTGGGGGGCAGTGGAATGTTGCTTACTCTGGCCTTTGTCAGCGTTGGCAAATAAGAACATGAATACCTATTTAACTAAATTTTAAAAGCTTGACAGTGTAACTGATAACACATTATTCTGGACTGCAAGAGATACTGAAAACAAATTTATTTAACACAAGACAGGAATTTTATGAAGCTGTCATTGGACAAGAACGTGCCTTACAGCAAAAGCAGAGGCCTGCTGCACCCATAAGGTAGATGCAGACTAAGCAATATGCTTATTATTTCCTTGCTTTAAACCTAGACATAAACACACTAAAATATGGTAACTGGTAACAGTGTATAAGCATTTTGTAACACTGTAACATTAGTATTTGACAGCGTAGCTGTGGATAAATATATAAATAACATGTAACTGCAAATTGACAGAGACTTGCAGTATACTTGTCCAAACAGTGCAGAAGAGAACATGTGCAAATAGTAAAATCTCCAAGATAAGAGCAAAGCACATAGAGTGGGCAGGAAAGATGTCAGGTGAAATCATAATAAACCTGCAGAACAAAGAGGAGATATGTCTGACAGAACCAGAATAATCCTGAAAAATAAGTAAGATGTCTAGCAAAACTAGGATAAGTCTTACTCCCCACAATAATATGAAGTATGTCAAAAGCAGATAAGATCATCCCCTTTCCTTCCAGGGAGGCAGCAAGGTGTATAAACACTAACAATAAGCAAAGAAGGATGGTAATTTATGAAAATCACAGAATGCTCACTTTGATTCCAGCTTCCCTTGCTAAAGAGCTCTCAAGCACTTTGGCAATTGAGACCATCAAGAACTGTAGCCATCAGCACTAAATATCAGCTTCATGGAACTGCAGACTTCTAGGTTTACTACTGCAATTGTATAGAACTGTTTGGGAAATGTAGTGATAATGACTGATGGTAAATAAGAACTAATGACTGGAAAGCTGAATTGTTGCTGCACGTGTTTAGTAGAGCGGTTTGATTAATCAGTCGTTTAAACACTCCATCACAGAGAGCTCCAATCCTCTGATATATGTAAAACACACAAATATTTTGTTGTAACATTTTGATTGTTTCTTTTATCAAAGAAAATCAAGCTTCTTTTCAGAGCATGCCATCAAACATGTTTTAAGTCCCCTCCCCTTACACTTTCGCAAGAGTTTAAAAACACTTGTTTTGCCACTTGACAACCTGTCCCCAGGTTTAAGTGACCTTTATCTTGCAACGTCAATCCCATAAACTGATCCTCCTGCTCACACAGGCAGGACACAACCAAGCGCAGAAGACTTTAGGGACAGGTCCAATTCTGCAAGCCATTGCAGTGACAATGTTGAAGACACGATTAATTTAGTGTTTTGAAATCAAAGTGTTTACTATTCACACGAAGGTCATTAACATCTCTCAACCGAGATCTAAGCATGCTTTTTAAGTAAAGAGAGTCCTTTTATGAAAGCCGGCCTCTACAGAAGCTAGGTGCGGGTCAGTTTTTAGTTACTCAGCTCTCACCACAGCCAGGAGCTCCCTTCACAGCAGGAGGAGGAGGAGGAGGAGGAGGATGTCCCAGCGCTCGGCCCCCTCGCAGGGGAGGCTGAATCCTTCGCACCGGCTCTCCAGATCTCTCCTGCTGAGGAAAAGCCGCTGCGAAGCGGCGCTTCCCTCCGGCCTTAATAACAGGGGCTGGGCGGGGGAGACACCTCTGAGATCTCCCCCGCCCTGAGGCGAACGGGCGCGGCAAGCTGACCACAGCAAAAACACCCGAACACGGAGCAGCCCGGCCGCCGAAAGCTCGGTGTCAGGGCTCCTCAGCTGCCACCGATCTGCTCCCACACTGCGGGCACGGGTGGTTTATATACCTTTTTTTTTTTTTTTTGGTGTCTGAGTCACTTCCATTAGCAAGACCCCCCACCCACCCGCCGAAGCCCCCTCAGGGCGGGCTCACCCCTCCCGCCTCCTCAGCGGGCGGGGGGCAGCGCAGCGCAGCCCACCGCCGCCTCAGACCCGCGGGACTCCGCCGCCATCCTCCGCCCTTCCCTCCGGTAAGAGACAGCGCCGGTTACCTCGTCCCAGCCGGCAGCCGCTGCCCCACGCCGCCTCCCCGCTCGTCTGAGGAGAAGGGAGGCGGTGGCGCGGGGTGAAGCAGCCCCGGCCCGCCGCCGCCGGGCCAATGGCGGCGCCGACTCCCTCAGAGCGGGGCGGCTCCCCGCGCCTCAGGGCCGCCCTCCGCCGCTCCCGCCGGAGCCGCCTTCGCCTTCGTGTTCGTGTTCGCCTTCGTGTCCGTGTCCTGTCCGTGTCCTCCGTAGCAGCGGGAAGGCGCCCTGAGGGACCGGGGCGGAGCGGGGAGACCCGCCTCGGCGCGGTAGGAGCCGTCGGGGGGGGATCTGAGCGGCCACTTCTGAGGCAGAAGCAGGTCGTAGCGGCGGGCTCGCTCCACAGTGGAAAGCGGGTATTTCACATGAAGTCCACGCAGGGAACATCAGCTTGACTTGACTAGCTGCCTTGAGGTATAAAATGTTCAGCATTTCGCTTTGCCTGGTAACAGGTAACCTACAGGGTGTGAATGTACGCCCCAGTTTGCAGTAAAGATACAGGCAGAAATAACAGAGGTTTCCGTCATCTGTTTGTCCAGGAAGCCACTCTAAGTGCTTTTCTGTTTAATCGGTGGCACAAAATAGACACGCAGCCATTTCGTAGGATGGTTCAGCAGGACCTTCCCCTTGAAGCGCATCTTGCTGAGCAGCCAAGGCACCAAGGTGATTTCTGAAGCCTGAGTCCCTCCAGGAGCAGGGTGACCCTCTGTCATGTCAAGAACCTCTGTGTTGGCATTTCCCTGCTATGCGCGTTCTTCTCACAGCACTTGCTTTATATTTTAATTCTGTTTCGGGGCAGCTGGAGGATTTCAGTCTCTGGAGTGCCTGGGAGCGGGGCCTTGTGAGCAGCTCATGAGGAGCTTTGCTCCAGTCTCACTCGCAGGAGCCTGGTTTTAAAAGCCTTCCCCATTCTGTTCCCAACCTGAATCCATTCACTCCCCAAGTCCTAGATCATCAGCACTGGCTTCCTGCTAACCATAAATTCTTATGTTTCACCTACTACTCAAACCTGGATATGGTGAAACAACGTAATGCTTTTGAGAGAAAATTTAATATACCTGGCATTGATATAGAGCTTTGGTAAATCACATATCTTTTCAATTTAATGTATTTTATATGTGGCTCTACCTTCCTGATGACAAAATAAGGGACTACAGCATGCTTTATGCACTATCCAGTACAATTCTGGCTTAATAAGCCTTTAATAAGGCTTCCATGTAGTTCACAGGGATCAAAGTGAATTGGAGACCTCGTGAAAGCTTAAAACTGTTTCTCCCTGCAATCATTTTCATTCAAGCATCTCTTATCCACATATCCTGTTTATTCATCCTAATGCAGCATACTAAGATGTACCTATTCAAACCCACACTGAACTCCTGTTCAGTGCAGATCAAGAAACATAGTTTGGTGTGTTAATTAGAAGGGTGGGCCCTTTTGGCACTCTTGGTGCATGGAACGTATTTTTCTATTGCGTTAAATATCTCTTTCATTTCCCATTCTCACAGCAGTCTCAAAGAAGAAGGCAGGCAAGGGTAAGACTGAGCCTTTTTAGACCAGACAGGCTGTATCAGCTGGCAGCTGCGGGTACGCCTGGCTGCTGCTGGAAGGAGCTGGAACTGATGTAGCCATTGGTGTAGCATCTGGTGTAGCCATTGCCCGAACCAATTCCCCCTTTAATCACAGACTTTGGATCCAAGCTTAGGGAAAAGCAGCTCCTTGCTGTTAGGAAGCTCCAGGTGGCAGAGGCGAAGCTGTGTATGGGGTGTGCACAGTGTCTGTTAAAATAGATACATGTTCTCTCCTGCTCACATTTAGTTTAGTGGTTTGTTCTTGAAATGGATCAGGTGAAATCTGTGGGATTATGTATGCAAGGGCTGTCCAAACTGAGACTAGTTGTCAGTTCATAGTCTGAGTGTTTGCAATAAAGAAGAAACTGAAAATACCTGAATGACATGCGTGGTAAGAACACTCAGAATGATTCCTCAGTAACTTCAGATGGAGAGTCTGCAACCAGTATACATCCTGTCCCCACAGTTGCTTTGCACTGGTGTAGTAGAGCTGAAGAATCTGGGATTTTTGTGTAAGCATGGAGTGGCTGTTTTTCACATGAATTGAGCCTGAACACTCTCAAGGTGGCACCAAGAGGACAAAAACTAGTGATAGAAGGATGGACCCTAACAATCCTCCTCTTCATCTTCCCCATACCTAGTCACAGAGTTGTTAAATTCGCAGCACGATCAAAAGATATGAGCATGTTTTTGGTTGCAGTGCAACACGAAGTATTATGACACCTTCAGGTAAGAAAACCTGCAGGTATTTTTGTGCAGTGGTATTCCTATTGAATCCAGAAAGTGGATCACCTTTCTTCCTTCATCCCCTCATGCAACATACCTTCCTCTCTAACCACTATCCAAAGTAAAAAGGAAGTCATACCATCTTCTCCCGTTAATGGAAAAACAAATGAGTGCTTCAGTGTGGTGACAGAATGGCAGGTATTAGTTGAAGAGATAGTAACTTTCAGTGAAGCAAATCCACCTAATACTGCTTTCCTTCCTCCAGCTTCATCCAGACAGAATCTCAGACTCCTTGGAACACTCAGCCACTCCCTGATGTGAACTAACACGAATCGAATCACATCTACCTCAGATACCGGCGGTTTCATTGCTGTAGTGATATATCCCTGCCTGGTGGCTTTGACAACATCACCCGTTGCTTTGCATTCTTCTGTTGAATCCTAGGCCCCAAGGCCTTTTTTTCCCTTTAAATCCTTCTGCACTGTTAGGCTATGTGATAACACCATGGAAGACAAAGGAACAATGATGGATGGAAGAGACTGAGAATTACCCTGCCTGGCTTCTCCCAAGCCCACCACAGGAGCTACCATCCCATCTAATGTCCATCTTCACACACATGAAGGAGTGCAGAGGCACAAGGGCAGGTGGGGGAGCCCAAATAACCCCTTCAGAGACACAACCCCCTTCCAGAGATGTCCCAGGGGAGCCCCAGTACCTTACAGACTGGAGGGATCACTGCCTGTGGGGGTGGGACACATTGTGGGATACAAGGGAAGAGGATTTTCAGACTGCACAAGATTGTGCGATATTCAGGGGATGAGCCAAAGGTGTGGAAAAAGGAGCGATAAAGGTGGTTTGGAGAGGAACAAGCATGGGAAAACAGAGGGTTAAGGGGATAAAAGGGGCCAGTCACATGTAAACAGGGCTGGTTGGGGTGCTTGTCTGCCCATGCCCTGTACCTGCTGAGCATCGTCTCTCCTGTCTTCTATTAAACTCCATTTCTACCTTATTTTTTGGGCTGGGAGAGAGGGGAATGTCTCTCTATTCTGCATGCATGTGTGTGTATGGGAGTACTTCTGACCTTCTTGCTGGGTCATGACACACGGGAGAAGCAAAGCCTCTGTCATTTTACCAGCAGGAGGCATTTCTTTACATCTTTAAAAATAAAATCTTAAAAAAATATATTTAAAAAAATAAAATTAAATTCTTTTAAAGTGTAACAAGAAAATGTATACTGAAGGTGTAAACTGTGAAAGGAAACAGTGTGGGTAATTTAGCTGTGTATGATGCTTTCTGTGGTAAGAAAGAGATTGGCTTGATAATAATGATCACTAAAGAGATGGCTTTAAAGAGCAAGTGTGCATGAATAGGGCCTGATAATATTTCTGCTCTTTTGCTGCAAGACAAAATGAATGTAAGTCCTGCTGCCACTGATCAGGGCACCTTTAGATTTGCACTATTATGCAGCATTGCTAGAGATTGCTCTCAAACGCCCAGTGGAGGAAAAGACATGAAACCCTAATTTGCTGTTGGAGGATTTCTAGGAGGTGAGGAGTCTGAATAATTGTAGTTTTCCTCAAGGACTGATCAAGACAGTTTCAGCTTTGCAATTGATGAGAAATGCTGTCTCATGTTTAATAAGATAGTCCTTTGTCATTAAACACTTTATACTAGGTGCTTTCTGGTCATTTCCCTGTGTAGTTTTAGTCTGTGACAATTGTCCTGTTTGTGCACATATCTGCAAAAAGGTGAATTTGCCATTTTAAACTTGATTAGAACATGGAGCCAAAACAAGTTCCATGTACTAGTGGTATATAAAAAATGGTCTGGCACGTTGCACGGAAATTTCCAATCTCACTGTGGCTTTACCCTCTCATCAGATTTTCAAAGTTAAAAAACAAAACAAAACAACCAGAAAAAAAACCCTCAAGAGGCAAACAGGGGGAAAAAAAAAAAAAAAAAAGAAAGATTTCAAGAAACATGAAAACTCCTTTTTCAGTTGTCAAGTCTGTGGGACAGCTCAGTGGGAAACTCAGGATTAGGGATGGGGCCAGAATAGGAACCAGCTCTCTGGAGTGAACTTTGCTAGAAGACTTTACTTTGAGAAGCACTTTCCACAGCCCATCTTAGAAGGTAGATGAGAACAAAAACATTCTCTTCATTGCTTCTTTTCGGCAAATCTGTGTTTTCTGGATTTCTTTCCCTCAGGGTGCAAGGCTGAGAATTCTGTAAAGAAATGCCCCAAAAGGGCAAAGGCTTCTCCTCTAGTCCTAGAAGGTGTTCACAAAAGGTTTAATTTAATTTCTCTAGTTCCTTAAACAAGTAACTGCTCAAATAGCCCATATTGCCTCTTCCCTTTTATCAATATTGATATTTATTGAAAGCAGCAGGACTTGCTGGTTTAAGACTAGCCCTAGAAATACTCTGCTGTCTTACATTCTTTCTTCCAATGGACATTTTGTGGGAATACAGGACTTCTAGACTTATATACTCTACTCTGTTTCTGCCTTGCTCCCAAGTCTCATACCTTTCAGAGCCTTTCCCAGGTCCCACCTCTGCCTCCTCAGACTCTTACTGGGCTTTCTGTATGGCTCAGGAGGAGCATGTGAGAGAAGAACATTTTCTTGGCCCATTCTTCCTGCAATATAGCCAGAGCTGTTTGTTTCTCCACCAGGAACAGCCCATCACCTTCATCCCATCTCAGGCTTCCGAGAGGAGCAGGTTGTAAAAAGAGCAGAACAGGACTTCCAGTGTTTACTGGAGTATTCAAACACCTCTTGGATATTTTGCAATAGAAGGAACAGGCATTCTCTATCCCTACTCAAATCTTCCTCAGACTCTTCTTGGGCAAGTCCCCACTGACTATTAGGCAACACAAAAAACAGAGCTGAAACTCCCAGAAGTTGCCTGGGGCTGTACCTCCAGATGGTTTTGCCAAGAAACCCTGGGTCCCAAAGAAGCACCCCTGGATTCTCTTCAACATGCAATGCTTTATTCTTCTCCGCTGATTGCACTGGCTCCGTGGTAATGCAACCAGCCAACTCTTTGTGGTTTAGCTGCTATTTCCTTGCCTGTGTGGTCCTTCTGTTCTTCACTTTCCTGCAGGAGATGGTCTTTGATGTCTTCTTCCTTGCTCTGAAGGTTTTGCAAGTCTGCCCAGTTGTCCCTCAGGATCTGAGCTGCTGCCTGCTGCACAGTAGGTTGCTTGTCTTCCTGCAGTCAATGGAGGGCTGAAATGACACAGAAAGATGCATCAATGACTGTGAAATCCCAAGTCAGAACACTCATGCCTTCCCTGTCTTCCCAAGCAGAGCAACACTTGAGAAAGCTTGAAAGCCTTCCATGGGTTCAGTCTCATATCCAGGCTGATGTTTGGGACAGGGCACCAGAGAGAAGAGGCAGTGTAGGGTCAGCAGAAGGTGGTGATGACTTTCCCCAGTCAAGGAGACTGTAAAAAAAGAGGGACAATTTTAACCTACATATCCTTAGAAGACTCATACACTGCTCTGTCCCAGATGTCTGGGATGTCTGGCCATACACATGCCCTTGAAACTCTTCCTTGTGAAGAAGGAGGCCCATCATAGTCACCAAAGCCCTGATGTTGGCCTGGTTGAGCTGCAGACAGAGAAGGGAGACATTTGCTTCAGCTGAACCCCACTGAACTCAGTATCCCCCAGACACAAGCTGTCTCTTCCCAAAATAATTATTTCCTCTATTTCTCTGGAGGAAAGGAGCTTGTTCAAGAGGGTAGTATTTCCCTTCTTTTGTACCCATAACCCTTCTGACTGAAAGGCCACTGGGATTCATCTGGTTCTCAGCAGGAATTCTCCAGGCCCAGCTCATGGGAGAGGTGGGAAGGTGGAATACACACACACAGCATTTCCATGCTTGTTAGCAGCACCTTCCAACTCCAGACGTTTTCACAGACAAGCTGCTTCTTGTCAAAGCATTTCTGACATGCTATCACTACACAGAAAGGCAAGGTGAACTCCAGCATCATAGCTACTGCTGAAGGGCCAACAGAAGCAGCAACTCACACCACTTCTTCACCATCCAGCCAGTTGCTGACCACATTTCTGACCACATAGCAGAACAAAGGGTAAATCTTGTCACAAAACTCATCTTCCTCCATTTGAGGGAAGGAACATTTTTCCCAGTCCTGGAAGTTGAGATTTACACCTTTTGATCCCCTTTCCAGAACTGTTTCAAAAGAAGGGAGGGGAAAAGGTCCCTATGTAAAGTATGGATCAGTGGGAGCATGTTGCATGATCACCCAGGTCTGTCTCAAATGGCAGTCCCATGCACATCAGCATTCAGTTCTGAACCAATTTGGATTCAGGAGCATATGTGAGGTGCCTTAAAATTCCTTCCTTGAAAAGTTAAGCTATTTCTCTCCTCCATCTTCTCTTCCTAGTTCCCTTTAGGTAACTCCTTTGTACATACATATTTCTATATATGTATATGTTATATGTATAGCATATATCATATATATTGGTTCCTGATGACCATTAAAAGGCAAATGTCACACCCATTTTCAAGGGCAAGAGGAAGGATCCGGGGAACTATAGAGCCATCAGCCTAATCTCAGGCTCCAGGAAGATTATGGAGCAGATCTTCCTGGCACCTGTGTTCAAGCTTGTTAACAGAGGGTTGAAGAAGAGCTGAAAGCACTGTCTGATCCTGGAAACACTATTAACCTGCAAAATAAGGACTCAAACTGATCATAATATTTTTTCTTTCTGGATGTAAGACAAGACTTGCTAAAAGATGTAAGTATTGTTTGACCATGCAAGTAGAAAAAGGCAGAAGTTGACCACAGTCATGTTTAAGTGCTGTTAGTTTTTGGCACAGTGAGATTTAAATATGTCCAAGTTAAAGTTCTTGTGCTACAAAGTACAAAGGTCAAGGCTGTGTTTGTCTTTGCCAGCTGAATTAAGATGCTGTTCTTTCTTTTTCCTGACCTCCTATTCAAAGTCTGGTTTATGTGTCAGCTGGCTACTGTGTCCTAATAGCATCATTCAATCCATAATATAGAAGAAGGAACTTTAAAGTCACTAGTTTTTTATGATTTGTTTTTTTTTGCTTTTTTTTTTTTTTGCTTTCTCATCTGAGATGTTATATGGGGCAGCTGCCTACTGTCTTCAGTATAGATGCATTGCAAATTATGATCTCTGCCTATAGGACTAAAAGTGGTTTGTCCTTGCTTTAATGAATATGCCTTAATTACAGAGACTGCTGTACTATGTCAAACAGGACTTGTCATAGGAGAGCATAAGCTCCCACTGGACTGGACAAAAACTGTGAACAAAGTAGGTGAATGTGAATTTTGCCCAAGAGTGAATCACAACTTATTTCTGTGGCAGAGTATGGCTCCTAGGGTAACACAGCCCAGTGATGTCCTGTGAAGGATGACATACTGAGCCCATCCAAAATCAATGGAGGTCCACTGGCCAGCAATAGAAAAGCAGAAGTAGTTTGGGATCAGCCTCCAGTCCTTCTTTCTATGTACTTATGCCCTGTCTCCACTGCTGGGGCATGGCTTTTTGCACAACACTGGTGTATGGGGCAGAGAGTTACAGGCAGCAGCGTATGGCTGCCTGTTACTCAGGTGGAGGAGTTTCCTCCGTCTCAGTGCCTCAGACAACTTAGGGAGCTTGTTCCTGAGAAACCAGCTCTGCAGTCATGGTTGACCCAGTTCACATTTACTGTGGAACTGCAGCTACCACTGCAAGGCTTGTAAATGCTCTTTTTCTTGAAGATGGCTGAAATTTTATTTCATGATTTTAAGCCTGCCACCATAGGTACCCATTTGGGTGCAACTCAGGCCACCCCATGACCTTTGTCACACAGAAATCCCTCTCAGGGCTTAAATTATCGCTGTACTGTTGTTAATGTTTGCTTTTCTCATTTAACAGAATCATAGAATAGTTTGAGTTGGAAGGAACATTTAAAGGCCATCTCATCCAACCCCCCTGCAATGAGCAGGGACATCTTCCATTAGATCAGGTTGCTCAGAGCCCTGTCCAGCCTGTCCTTGGATGTTTCCAGGGATGCGGCATCTACCACCACTCTGGGCAACCTGTTCCAGTGTTCCACCACCCACAGTGTAAAAAATTTCTTCCTTACATCTAGTCTGAATCTACCCTCCTTTACCTTAAAGCCATGACGCCTTGCCCTATTGCAACAGGCCCTACTAAAAAGTCTGTCCACATCTTTCTTACAGGTTCCCTTTAAGCCCTGGGAGGCCGCTCGAAGGTCTCCCCGGAGCCTTCTCTTCTCCAGGCTGAACCCCCCCCAACTCTCTCAGCCTGGCCTCACAGCGGGGTGCTTCAGCCCCCCGAGCATCTTCGTGGCCTCTGCTGACCCCGCTCGAGCAGCTCCGTGTCCTTCTGCTGTTGGGGGCCCCCGAGCTGGCCCCAGCACTGCAGGGGGGTCTCCCCAGAGCGGAGCAGTGGGGGAGAATCCCCTCCCTAGCCCTGCTGCCCCCCCTGCTCTGGCTGCAGCCCAGGGCACGGGTGGATTTCTGGGCTGCGAGCGCACATCGCTGGCTCACAGTCAGTTTTCCACCCGCTAATGCCCCCCAAGCCTTTCTCTGAGGGCTGTTTCCTAAGGCGAGGTGCCAAGCACGGGAATGACAGAGCGCTGTCTCCCGCCTCCCCCCCACCCCCCCCCCAAGAGCGCTGGCGGCCGCGGCGCTTTTCGCGGGCTTTTCCCCGGTGTCAGCTCCCGCGCGCTGCCGCCAGAGGGCGCCGCCGCCCCGCGGAACGCGCCGGCGGGGAGGGGGCGGGGCTCCCGTTGCCTTGGCGTCCCATGGCCGGTGGCGCCGCGGCGGGCGGGGCGCGGGGTAGGCCCTGAGCGAACTGCGCCTGCAGCCGGGCCGGGGGGTTTTGGGGAGGTCTGTGGGGCAGGGCCGGGCAGCAGAAAGAGCATGTGGGTGTAGCCAGGCCCCGGGTGGTGCTTGGATTCCGGGGGGTTGTCGTGAACGTTTAGGCCTTGGGGGCGAGAGCGCGCAGGGCCATGAGAGGGATTTGGGTGTGGGTGGTGGCGGGGTGAGGGGAGATACTTCAAAGCTTGGCGGTGTAGGGGAATATTCTGGTCATTCACGGGTTGGAGGGGGACAGTATGGGAGGGGCTTAGGCACTGGGTGACAGTGCCAGTGGGGTGTGGTGGCTGCGGACAGGGAGGCTCAGGCCACTGTGAGGGGTGGCCCAGCTTCATCCACTGAGGTGCCTGGTGATGAAGCTGGTGGCGGGGGAATATGTGCAAGGGACACAGAGGAAGGGATTGAGGGCAGGGGGAATTGTTAGCCTGCTTTGGAGATTGTGAAGGGTTTACGGTGTGGCTGCGGGGTGCTGAGGTAGTTGTTCATGGGGACTGAGGCTGTGGAGCCACTGCTTGAGGTACAGGGATAATAGTGTGAGTGCAAGTGCTGGTGTGGTTCCAACCAACGGTAGTGACTGAGCTTATGGGAGCAGTGGGCTGCCATCCAGGCAGTGCCTGCACTGCGTGTCTGGAAAGCCACAGTAGTTGGGTCACAATGTCTGGGATCTTCTTCTAAGGACGTAATGACAATGTACTTATTGGTTGAGAAAGTGCTGGTAGTGATAATGGGGATCTGTCAAGAGTTACGCCTCATAATGAATTTGTTTGGGAGAACAAATAGATCTTGCCTTCTACAAGCGTTTTCCTTCTGGTTTAAAATCTGCAGTCAATTCTCAGGCCCCCTAAATATGTTCCCTTGTCCCTCGTGTGTGTATTTTCTATGGTTTGCAAAGTCAAGCCAATCTATTATGCTATGTTTTTTTTACCTTGTTGTACAGCTTGGAGGCTTTCTTGTTCCCTGCAGAGGAAGAATTTCATAAATATATCACTGGAGCTCACCCCGGGGCTGTAGTTCCAAACAAACCCCAAAACCTTTTCAGAGTACTGCTGCTTGAAATGTTTCAGTTTGTATCTAGTATTGGTATTGCTGGTGGGAGTCAGAATTTTCCAAGTTTATGTGAATGGAATTACTGTATCTGCAACATAAATAATCAGGTGGTGCAAAGACAGTGATTGACAGCTCTAGACAGTTGTCCTTATGAGAGTGACTTTTCTTCAGCAGCAGAACAGACAAAATCTGCACAAGCAGGTTTCCAATACAGTGGAAGTAAAATTTTTCTGGATAAAACATTATGAAAAAGATATTCCAGGGTCTAAGGAGCTGCGTGGGGATGTAGACTCCAAGGTATGTTTACTCTTTCCTTCATTTACCTTGTAGAGCTGCCACACAGTGAGCATTCCTTTTACACGCCTTTCTGCAATATACAGCACACTGCCTGCCCTCAGCACCCTCACTTGTTTTATCAGCAGGCATCCACTAACTCATCTAGGGTAGAAAGTTATTTTGTATACAGAAAGCTGTCATTGCCTTGCTTCAGGGGGTGGTGAATGCAGTGTGAAGGCAAGCACCAGCGTATGGATTAGAGTGCATCTGTCAGTAGTTGGTTTAATTTAATTCCCTTGATTTTACATCGATTTGGCAGGCTTGCTATGTGGCTTTCCACTGGTATTTTTGTTTGTTTGTTTGTTTGTGCTCTTATTAACAGGAAGAATATCCAGCCTGCTGTATTTAGTCACAGAACAAGTTGTTATCAGTTAAAGCTATTAGAGTGATAATTGTTAGGATTCAGAACTTAAATTCAGAAAAGCCATTTAATATGAAGACAGGTTATATACAGTGTTTCTACTCGTTCAGTAATAAAACCTCCTATGTTATATGAACCAGTCTGGTTTTGGCATTTGATTATGTGACTCCTAAAAGTGAGGAATCTTTATAAGTGCCCTTTTCTTGAGACTTTTATATAATATATGCTACCAGTTCCATTACAGAACTATTCATTGTCAGTTGAATTCTGAGGTTGGTAGTTGTGACAACACACCCAGGGAATACTGCTGACATGCATATCCCTTCAGAGAGTGGTTTTGTTCCAGCTCTGACAATGAAAACTAGTATCAGAGTTGCAGTGAAAGGCAAATATTCATGGTGCTAGGAGAACAGAAGGAGAGGGAAAGAGATGCATATTAACAAGTGGACTCGATAAAACAAGCCTGATAAAGAAACAGAGGCAAAGAACTGGAAAAGGAACAACTGCCTATTTGATTTGCAAGAATGTAAACCACAGCCCACAGGAAAGGATGCAGTAACTAGTGATAGAGGCCCCTGTTCACCAGCATATCTTTACTCAAGACAGCACTTCAGGAAGTCACAAAAACATGGATCTGAGTGCTACCCTGGGCAGGATTATTGTTGTCAAAAAAAATACTGCTTTTTTATTTCAGAACTGTTAGCAACTTGTCACAAGTGACGAAGGCCTGTGAGCATATGACATTTTGTAAATCATTAATTTCTTTTTTTTTTTTTCTTTTTTCCTTTTCTGCTTATCCTTTCCTCCTTTTGGACCCAACTTCTAGCACAAGTACAACAAAAAGCATGGAAGAGAAAAAGAAAGAGGAGAAACCAGAAGAGCAACTTACAGAACCTGAATCAGCTGTCCCAGAAGCCTTACTAGAATTTCAGTAGGTTTACTGTATTTATCTTTTCACTTGTACAGAATATGTGAATGGATAAAACGGATAACAATGACAATTTACCCGATTCAGAGCTTGAGCTGATTGACTGTGGCAGTAGTTTTTCTTCTGTGTTCTTGTTTTGGGGTTTCAAGGCTGTTTTGGAAATATACACTTTTTAAATTGTAAGTATAAGGAAACATTTAAGTGGTTCAGAAACATTTTTATGCCATTAGGTTATAACTTTGGAAAAAGAGCTTTATTAAAAACAAAAACCTCCTACATTCTTGTCTGTTAGTAGCAAGCTTTTGATCAGCATACTCTGAAGTTGCAAGATCATATTTGGCTATTTTTTAGGATTCCTTGGTGTTCACAGAGGTACGTAGTCACTAGCCAAAGCCTCAAGACCTACATTTTGTTCCTTTGGTACAGATAAGACCAGAGCACAAAGGAAAGTGTTTTATTTTTAAAATAATGGAGGGATAACTTAAATGTCCCTTAAAATCAAGCAGAGAAAAGTAAGAGTCAAGAGGGGAATATCTGAAGTAGTTACAAAATAGTCCAATTTATTTGATCTCCAATTGCTTGAGTAGATGAATAAAAGGAGAAAAATTAAACACTGTGACTTTTATCAGAGACAGAAATTGAAAGGGAAAGATGCCAACAGCATCTAATATCCAGCAATTACCAGCACTTAGGGAGCGAGGAGTAGTGCTTTGGTATAGAAATGAAAAGCAGGACAAGCAATCTGAAGAGCAGCCACATATAGTTCCAGTGACATCCATAGGAGTTTACAGAATTAATGTGGGATTTTTTATTTCATTTTACAAAGAACAGAGTACAGGTTTCCATAGTGAAACAGCCCAGATTTGGCTGAATCATATCTCAAATAAATACCATTCCAAAAGTCAACAAACCAACCCATCTATTTTGCTAAGAAATAAGCAAACTGTATTATTAGGCCAAGAAAAAAAACCTGCACCACTCTCTGATAACATTAATGTTATACATGTTCAGATATCCAAGCAAATGACTCCTTTGTCTGAAGAGTGTTCCACTGAAATGGGTGCTGTACTGACACAGGATATTTAGTTTCTACAGCAACAGTAGGGGGAAAAGGGAAGAAAAGTATTTTTCTTTCTGTCTTTATCTTTCTCCCTCTCTCCTCTCATTTCCTCTTGCTCTCTTTTTCCCTCTCTCCACCTCTGTAATCTATAAATTCTCTGTACCACTTGCTTGAACATAGCAGCATAAGCAGCATAATTGTACAAGTGAATTATCTGTCACATTCCACTTTAAGTTTTATCAAGTGTATAGTATTTATTTAACTTCCACTTCTGCTTTTTCTTCCGTACATTGAAGAATGGTTGCTGTTCATAGCGAGTTTGTTATTTTGCATTTTTCAGTACAGTTTTCTGTTTCAGGATTGGTTAAGAACAACAGCCCCTTGAATTACTTGCCCTAGTAACATCCTATAGATGACTGACAAAACTGTCATGGTACTGGAAACAACTGGTGGTGTTTCTAGATAATTAAATCATCTAGATGAAACCTCATATACAGATTTGAGAAGAACGGTATCAAAGGAATAACCGATCAGGCTGTTTTGTAGCTTTAATCTGACAAGTACCATAGAAAAAAATAATCTAAAGAAGAAAGTTCCAATACGTAGCAGACAAAATAGCAAATACTACTCAAATTTTTGACACTAACAGTGACAGATATAGACTACCACTTCATTGAAAATCTTAAAGTAACAGAACTTAAGATCATCAGCAGTATTCAAAATACAGAAATGGTTTAAAATGGCAGGTAGTTTAGGAGGTCACACTGTATGGCCAAGCTGTCCCCTCTGTCTAATAAGTGGTGTATTTTTGCTGTAGCCATCACCACCATACCCCCATATCTCTGTTCTAGTCTCTCTAATAACCTTGTACTTAATGGAAAACCTGAAGAATACCTTGGAGCACACTGACACCAGAGGATGCAAATCTAGTAATCTGCAATTTGCATGTTCTGAGTGATACAAACTTAGTCAGGAGAAAATTATCTTCTTTTAAAACAACTTAATACAATAAGGAGGGGGAAAAAAAAACCAAAACAACAACAACAACAACAAAAAATGCCAAAACAAAAACTCCAGGAACAATAGCTGTTGAAACAGTAAAAGATATTGTGATATTTGTAATACTTGCCTCTATTGTGCCATAGTGTGAATGAATTCTGGGAACAGAGGGAAAGATTACAGAGAATTTTGTAAATAGACACCATTTGCAATCCAGCGTTTCTCATTCCAGAAGAGGGAACATGAGAAAAAAAAATACTTAGTTTACAGATGTAGCAAAGAGGATGATAAGTAGTCTATGAAAATTGTGAAAGTAGTGAGCTAGTTCTTTGACAAAAATGTATAAACATACTTGGAGGATACTACTCAGGCTGCAGACCCTATCCCCTTCATGCTTCTTAAAGGCTAACAAGTTCTGGGTGTACAAATGCAGTTTATGAAGATCAAGAAACCACATTTTTAGAAGAATTGAATCCCATTTAATTCACCAGTTTGGGATTCATCTGACCTATGTCTAGGTGAGTTGCCTAGGTGTCCCTTATCGTGACTGGTGAGTAATAACTATTTCTGGAGCACAAATAATCTTGTCCTAAAAGAGACCTGTGCAATAGGTCATCTAAACGATATCCAGAAAGAATGAACCAGCTTAATCATCTCTAGTGGTTACAAAGGAATAAATAATCAGGGAGTCTGTTTCTCAGTAGGAATATGAGATCCAAACTAACATGAAGGTCCAGGTGTATGTGGGAAGTAATTTCTAATATGAAGGTCCAGGTGTATATGAGAAATAATTTCTTTATGTATAGAAAGCAGATAGTGGTATCTATCCTAATGAGTCAAGTAATATGGTAGGAAAATAAACATCTGAGTAGTATTTACATCTATTCTAGTTTAAATACTATCCTTCCCTCTGCTGTTTCTGTAATAATATCTCTTTCTTTACTCTTTCTCCATAGAATTGAGACAAAAGAAGCAGCAATTGATTGTGTTTTGTCTAACCTGAAACAATTGAAAAAAAGGAACAAAGAATATCATGAAAGAGTAAGTGACCATGCATCCTTCTTCCGACACATTTTATATGTGATATTTTAACTCTGAGATTCAATTTTATTCTTTTAATCCTAATACTACGTTCACTAAAATTAGTCATCACAGTGAATTTCTTACAGTCAATGTAACTAGAGTTAGTGAGTCATTTCGTGTGCTAAAAGTTAGTGTTATCTGAATTAAATGTGACATAAAGCATAAATGTCCTAGATATAACCATGCAGAAAAGGAGCTGCAGGAGTAGAACACTGCAGAATAGGACACAGCAGTAAGGTAAAGTGAGTTCAGTGAAGGTGTTTTCCAATGCACATGAGATCCTCACTGACCGCTTCAGTATCTAATCTTATTCTGCAACTAACACAGGACAGCTAGCCTCTTTCAGTAGGCAACTTTACTGCAGTACATGCAGGTGTGCCTTTTTAAACAATCCTGCAAATGTTCCTCAATGTTTCAGCACACAAAGAATAAATGATACTAACTTAATTCCTGTCAGAAGTATTAGCAGATCTAACCAAGTATTGGGATTTGCTGACAACCTTTGATTCACTTCTGAGGTAACAGAATTGCACAGGTTTATATGAAAATGTAGTTACTCTTGCAAACTTTGTTACAATGAAAACAGAACAAAGAACATCACACAATTGTCTAGGTGCAATTGTTAGCACTGCTTGATGAAGACTCACTTTCTTGTGGATTGAGAGTTGTACTGGGTCATTTTTAGAAAAAGGTTATGTAACTACTGATTGCACCCGAGTGACACTTTAAAGAGCTGCATATATGAACTGCATATAAAGAACCATAATATAGCATCTGATGTCTGAGACCAGTGAACTTCAGAAGTGGATATGTATACGTTCACCTAATGAGTTCAAATTGCTCAAAAATCCTTAAACTGATTAATGTGATTAAACAACGTTGCAGGCTGCACTTCCTATAGAAGTGAAACATGGAAACAATGTTTCTGTCCTTCACCTGCCTGATATTTGCTCTGCTTTTATAAGTATTCATCTGTTTGCCTTTCCATGGTGTTCCTTTCAGTCTTGAAACCTGGATGATATTTCATTTGTGGCCTTAACTATCAGTGGAAGTGGCATTTGGCTCCTCTCTGTAGACATCTGAAGTCTCTCATGGTTACTCCCCCTATTTACTGCTGGTTCATGGTCTCACAAGTACTCCTTCGTGTTTTAGACTGTTCAGGGTACTTCAGGGCATGCTTGAAGTGCTGTTGGTTTAATTTACCTGTGTTTTTACAGTTCTTTGAGCTCAATTCTTTGTTTCCTGCTTCATGTTTCTGAGTGGTTTCATTAATTGTTCTAGAAGTGAGGAATGCTTGAGACTCTCTCTACTGCACAGTTGCTTTTACACTTCGGCTGGTATGGTTATTTGCTCCTTTATAGTATCCTCTGGGAGCAAACATACACGATCAGTAATTTCAAATAATTTGAGTGGCACTTGAGAGGGTCATGTCAAGGGGTTATAATCACAGTTATGGAATCAGTAGTTATAACTAATACCAGCTCTGACAACTCTCTGCTGGGGTTATATGCAGGTGACCTGATTGTCTGATGACATTTCTATATGAAGGTGGTACATTCTCATGAAGAACATTTATGTGAATTAAATAACTCCTACAAATAAAAGTTGTTATTAATTGACCCACAAAGAACTTTCTTTCCAGGCAGTGGAGGACCACTGATGTGCTGCACCAAGTAGAGCAGTGACTCATTGCTCATTTCCTTGTTATGATCTTGAAGTTACTGAGAAACTTCTGAGAATTGCAATCTCTTACTCCTGCTCCATCCTTTTTGAATATGAAGAATAGGTGTTTAGCTGAGTGTTTTTGCAGTGCATCCGGGCACTAGGTTAGATTTTACTTTATTACTTGTCACTTTGAAAACTAATTTGAAAATGTTTTAATACATGCCTTTTCTTCTGTTGTTCTTTCATAGAATGACATTCTGAAGGAAGAACAGCAGGCACGCATCAGGCATATACTAAGGCAAAAAAAAGAAAAGGAGAAAGAACAAGATGAGAAGGAGGTTGTAACTAAGGATAATGTGGAAGAGTCACTGAAAGCAAAATGGCAGTATGTTAAGGACCAAGAACAACTTCTGAAAGGTATGGTGTGAGTTGTGGAAGTGTGGTTTGCAGTTTATGCAGTTGAGATTGTGTACTTTTTTTTTTTTTTTTTGCATTTCAAATGGAGATTCACCTTCCTTGTCACATGAAAAGCGTAAAGCATTTCCTCCCCAGAATTAAGCTGTCTCAACATGGTAAGAGATTGTAAAGGGATTATAAGTAAATCTGTTCCTTCCAAGTGATGTATATTACAGAGGCTTCCTTTTTTTCTATGAAGTTGAAACTCGTGAAAGCTCTATGCACTGGCTCCACTGGAAGTTTAAAAAAAAATATTCGATGGCAACAAAAATAACCAGTTTTGATTGTTGAAAGTTCTGGCAGCCATCCCTGAAATTCTCTGTGGGAGACACATGTGTCTGGCTACAACATTTCAGTGAGAACTGTTCTCTCCCCTTGGCAGAATAAGATCTAGCTGTTTTCAGCAATGACGGTGGCCCTTGGCACTGTGTGAGGCCATCATGTTGTAATGTATTGGAGTGTAGAAGAATCACCCTTCTTTTTCCAATCCCAGTGAAGGCACCTTTATTAATTAATTTGATGAAGTTGTAAGAATTATGAGCTATCAGTTTGAGAAATCGGTAATGTACTTGTCTTCTGATGTTCTTATTTTAATAGATCTGCACTTTCAAATTGAAGAAACTGGCCAAAGATTTTTAGAAAAGCAGGCTGAGAGGGATTATTGGTTGGAGTACAAAAACGTAGGAAGTAAAGAACAGGCCAACAAGATTATGAATCTGGAAAAAGACATTAAGGAAGTCAAAGATGACCTTCACAGAACTACAGGTCAGTTTACAGCTAGTGTAATATAAGTTTTACAGGCTCTTTGTGTATTACTTGCAGGAATTAATTAAATTATAAATTTAGTTTGAGGTCAAGTTCTAGTAATTTCCAGCAGCTTTTCCAAGACAGTGCACCTAAGGTGAGCCACATAGTCCTATAAAATAGAAGAACTCTAGCTTTGTGAAAGTTCCTTTATTAAAGACTTTGATAAAGCTACAGAAATTGTGAACACTTTCAGAAACAGATAAGCTTGTCTTCTGATGATTTTCTTGTAAAATACAGGCAACCTGTTTTAAAAAAATGTTACTGTGAAGGACAGCAGTTTTCTAAAAATATGCCTACATATATTTAAGTCACCTACACACAGGACTCCCTTAGCAGTCATACTTGAAAATGTTGACTGTGCTGTTGTTGCTGTTGAAAACTCCTTTGAGAGGAAAGTAGTATGATCTCATTCTTGGAACAGTCTTTTCAATTGAGCGTACTGGTTTAAATGCAGAACTAGAGGGAGCTGTTTAGCCAGTGGTCTGAACTTTGCCTCCTAGTTGTGTAGCCCCATGTATGAGGCCCTGCAAAATTGCCAGTACAGACATACACAAATACTGGGAACTGTTTCAATACTGACACAACAGTGGAATTAATTTGAGAGCTTATGTGTTCTGGCGCTGAGTGCTTTACAAAGATTTCTTTACTACAGCATTATTTTAAAGTAGTTTAAATATTTTGCTGTTATATAACCCATGCTTCTAATGGGAGAAGGGTGTCCTGGTTTTCTTCCTTTATGTCCCTCTCAGTATGCATGGCCACAGCCAAGCAGCTGGTAGTAACAGGCAGTGACACGGCTCTAAGGGTCTCTGTATATTCTGTGCCAACCATTACCAGGCATCAACTACTGTGGACAAGGGCCAGCTAGCTATCTTTTTGTCTCTTGAAATATATTTTATCATGATTACGATCTGCACTGTGTTTTCTACATTGCCAGATAGCTTGTCAGATATTCATCTCTGTACTCAAGAGATGTTGATCTTTTCTTTAGGCATTTTCCATGTTTGTAATCAATTTAAAACTTTGCTATACAGCTGCTGAAATATGAAATGAAGAAGAGAATGGGCTTTTATATAGAATGCCAGAAAGAGCCAGTAGGAACATTCAGTCTGACCTCTTGCATGTTACAGGATACAGAGCCAAAAATCTCTGGTGGAACGGAAGTATATTTATAGAAAGACTGCTACAGAGGTACATACAGCAGTTGCCTAATTGACATACTGCAAAATGATGCTGCCAGCACTGGATGTTAGCATAGTGTTTTACTCAACTTCCTAAAATCGAATTTATAAAGTGGCTGTGGAGTACAGTCTTCTAGCCTACAAAAAAATTATAAAAAAAACCCTAACAGGCTTCCAGAGTGATACAGCAGCAAATGGGGCTTGTTCACTCCTTGAGTGTGTAACAGGCTTAGGGAATAATCATAGGTGAAGAGGTTTCTTTAGGTACCACTGAAGGGCTTGACACTAACGCAGTTCACGTAGTCTGGAGATAACATTTTAAAATTGCTAGAGGGGAGAGGACGCAAAAGAGCACCATACACTTATGTGAGCTGTGGGGAAAACAGTGTTGCAGTGAGAGAGTTAGGGAAAATAGTCTCATTAGAAACAGTATGAATGTCTGAACAGTTTCTCCTTCATTCTCCCAGTACAACTCAGGTTGTCTAGCTATCCGAAAGAATTAAACTATTAATTAATTATAGTATGTAAGTACTTCCATTTCATTCTTCCAAGTCTAGATGGTGGATTGAATAAGGCAAGCCAGCCTCCCCAGTGTTAAATTAAGAGCTAATGCACAACTAATGCACCTTTCATGTTTGACTGCCTATGACTCCACAGTGGGTCTTGTGACCAGATACTCATTTGCAGCCAGATCAGCAATGAGCTGTCTGCAACACAAGTGCAAAGCTAGGCTGAATTTCAAGCCTCGGGAACAACTGTGAAGTGCCTGCCTTCAAAGAAAATTGCTACAATCTCATTCATTCCTTCAAAAGGAGAAACTACCAAGCAGCAGTGGGCTATTTAGAATAGCACAAAAACAAGTGAAGGGAAGGATGAAATAATTAAATAGCAAGTGACTAGAACTTGAAGCCAGACAAATTCAGTTTGCTGTAAGACAGATTTTCTAAATAATGGCCACAAGTAATGATGAAAGCAAACCATCGAGGCAATTGCCACATTCTCCATTTTGTCCTGTTGTCAGATTAGAACCCTCTGGAAGGCTTATTTAAGTCAGAAAATTTATTAAGCTTTATATAATAACTGAAAAAAATGCCGTGTGAATAAGATGATCCAATATGCTTCTATACCTAACAAATAAGTTTTCTAAGCAAATCTCTCACATGACTCCAGGAGCTCTGCTATTGATAGAGACAAAATGTTAAGATACCAATATTTTAGCAGAGAATTGCTCAGCTTACTGCTCAGTTAACAGTGAATTGCTCAGCTCTTGTAGTTGCCAACAGAAATGTGTAAACCACTTCAGATTACTAGTTTTGCAATTAACACTACTGTCCTTTGAGTTTAGGAGGACAATTTCTATGGAGAATGAGTTTGAATCCTTTTCTGTGGAGCATCTATACATGTGATGCTGAGAAGTTCCAGTTTAGGAACAACAACTCCTTGTTGTCAGGAGAAATTGATGTCAAATAATTATTTCTGATTTTCTTTTTTTTTTTTTCTTTTTTGAAGAATACTATAGAAATGCTTTGAAAGCAGTGAAAAAAGAAAATGACAGGATGCTTGAGATGCACATGAGGTTAAGTAAGGAACAGGCCCCTGAGGTAATCCTTCTGCCTTTCTACAAGTTTGAACTGCATCATAGTTAGGATTAATGTACTCTGCATTAATAATTATTTTAACTTGAATTAAGACTTGGAACTTTTCTAACAAATTGAGAGTAAAATAAACTGTAAATCTTATTCCTAAACATGACACACACAGATGCTGTATGTACTTTTTTTTTTACATCAGACTAACAATGAGTAGATGTGAAGGCATTTTACAAATGAAGTGTGGGAAACTGGGAAATGATGCACTCATATAACTTGTTCAAGGACATGTCAGTTTTTCTGTGACCTTCATTTTGATGTTTGCATACACTTCAAAAAACAATAACACACTAAGAGACTGTCTGCATGGAAATACACATCAATTTGGAAAAAAAAAAAAAAGTTGTTTTGTACTTGTAAATGCAACATTTTTTAAATGCTAAGAGAGTGCAGTCTATGGTAAAATGTAGGCTTATTGATACATAGATTTTTTTTGTCATCTCTGCCAGCTCTGATTTTCAAACATGATTTTAAAAGTATTTATTGTGATGTCTTCTTATGCTCCTGAAATGCAAAGCATACGTCAGTACAGATCACTGGTTGGGCCCATTAGGTATTTAAATTCCCCGACTTCAGTGACATGTTTATGGTGATCTACAGGGGCATCTTCCCTCCCAGTTGTTCCTTTCCACTTACTGACATCAATAATTAAATTGTTGCCTTGGCTCATTAGCATAGACCTCTACATGTTTAAGTCAATTGTTATAGATCAGTAATGCCTCATTTGTGATTTTACTTGTTTTCTTTTAATAGCTAAACATTTGATTTCCTGAAAACAGGAAGATTAGAGCAGTAATGGGAACACAGCAGAACTTGTTAGGCAAAAAGGAAATGTCCTATTTTAATATGGGAAATTATTAAATATTGGTGAATTGCTTGACTCAAATTGCACTAGGCAGGATGATGGAGAAGAAACAGCTGGCCTTATGGGCTAAATCCCCTTGTAATCCCTCAGGGGATGCTACAGTCTGTTGTGTGGATTTTTCTTAATTATTTCCTGCTAAACAGCAGAAGGTTCTTCTTTGTAGTATGCAGCACTGTCAAAGTCCTGCTTTCAGATGAGATGATCTTAAATTATGTTTTCTCAGAATGCTGTAAGATACTTAGACAAAAACAGTTGCAGAGAAATTGAAGAGAATGAATGGCTGAAAGAAGAGGTAAGAGGATCACTTGCATACGGTTTATCATAGTAATCCAGGTTTGAAATACAGTCATAACTGCTTCCAGTGATGGGCTTCTGAAGACTTTCATAGGAAAAGGAAAACAATTTTCCTGTAATTAATCTGTAATCCTGAGTAGCAAACAGCATATGTGATAAATGAAGGTAAAAAGTGAACAACTACCTTCATAAATGAAGAACCCCTTTTCCTGCCCAAGCAGTTATATGATGTTTATATACCTATAATATACAATTATATACAGTTCATATACAATATATAAAATAATATATATACATTATATGCATATAATGTATCACATGTTATATACAATAATATACGATTGCATATATAAAAATATACAATTAAGTATTTATATCTATGGAGATTGAGATACTATATAGTGTAAAGGCTCAATCATGTAAGTATCTGAAGAGTGTAGTTTTAAATTGTATCAAAGTTCTAGTGCTGCAGTGTTGAAAGAAAATGGATATGGATGTTGGAAACAATTTTGGAGAAAGGGCTTGGGACAGCTTTAAATGGGAGGTAATAAAGAAACCATGGAGGTTATTACACTGAATAGAGGAAAATCAAAATCATATGTAGTTGTAACCAATTACTTGATAGCTTTTGTACTGTCCTTTAATGACAATTTAGAGCTATGTATTAGATAGTTGTAACTTTTCTTGTCAAGAAAAAACTGTTTTGTGAGCCAAATTTAGGAAACTGATTTTCCCATGGTGAAAGTTTGATTGTATTTATTCAATCAATACAGGTTCTTTGTTGTGATCAAATCTAAGCAAGAGATAGGAGGGAGGAAATACCTTTCCACACATTTACAACCTTACAGTTTAAAACTGAGCAAAACTTTTTGGGAAATTAATAAATGAACTTACTATTTTTCAGTGCCACATCAACAAGCCTGACAGAGGTTTCTCCATTTTACTTACTAGTTTAAGGTACTTGCCAGTATGCAGGGATACGGCTTTTCTTCTTCCCCTTAATGAGCTCTGAGCCTCCACATTTAACTTTCCAGGGAGGGTGTCCAAACCACAGCTTCTGAGGCAATGAGGTAGGGGTCAATAGGAAAGAATTAATGTTTTAATCTGTATAAACAGACAGGAGCTCAAATCTATACATCCTATCACTGCATAAGTATGAATTCTGTTCCCTTCTCCCTGTTTCACTGAGCATGTATGAATTTTACACGTATTAAGCAGTGTCAACAAGGGAGATCCACTTTGGAGTACTCTTAGGTCCCGACCTCAGAGTCGAGGGATTTGGATTTCTTCCCTCTCAACTAGAAGTTTCCTATGTTATGAATTCATTTCCTATGTTACTAGTTTCCTATGTTATGAATTAGTGCTTTGAATTATTGTGGAAAACAAAATTATTATCGGTAACTTCTCCAGTCATCTGAAATCACCTATTCATTTTCTCTGCTTTTCTTATACAGATGAAATATTTTCTTTCAGCCTAATGTTTATATGTAGCTGACAGACTCTTCCAGTAATTTCCTTTGGGGAGTTAAACCAAAACTTTCAGTTTTGTCCCAGTTCAAAGTCTGTATTTTTTTCAGTTTGGCCACTGAACTGAAAAATGACTTGCCAAAACAACCTTAAACTAGTTACCTCAAACTTTGAATGGATTTGGAGACTTCAGTCACACTTTTTTATGGTTACTGTGTCACACCAAGATGGTGCAAAGCTGCACCACCTCATCATGCCAGGCCACACCCTGTTACTGGCTAGTCTTCTGTCACTTCCACCTTTATTAATCCCTGTGAGAAATGGGAATTAGTTTATAACTGCAAATTTGGATGATTAGAGCTGGGTTAATTTGGCTTTGGTGAAAACAGTTGCATTCAGATCACAGGTACTGCTTTTAAACTTGAGCGTATGGCTAAGATTTTGGGGATGGTATCTGTCCCACAGTACATTCCACTTCCCAGTGAAGAGGGTAAAAACTTGCTTGTACTTCAGGAAAAGTGGGATGAACTGTGGGAACTGAATAACCAGTATCCTTTGGTTAATATAACTTAATGGCAACATGGGATGATTAGCTTCACTAATTTTGTGTAAGAAGGTTTTGTGTATAGGCAGGAATTAGAAAAGCAACACTTGCTGAGCAAGAGCCTGAATTTAACTCTACAAAGAAGTTTTATTTTCTCTCTCAAAGCTCTGATGTGAAAGCAAAAAAGAAGAATCCAGAGCTTGTGTCTCACAGACGTGTTTGGCTACGTAAGAAAATTTTGCTACAGGGGTTGCGTAGCCCAAATGTGTGGCTGTGACTGACAGAGTTGTGCCAGTAAAGGGTTCTAATAAAGGTGTGAAAGAGCCAGAGAAGCCTTCCCTTTGCCTGCAAATGTGTCACTGTTTCTCCACCAAATGCACAGGCTTGCTGATACAGCTGCAATTCTTTCTAGGCATGTGCTTTTAAGGTAGTTACAATGAAAGCTTTCCAAAATGGGTATAGTCTTTCCAAGATGATTTTTTTTTTTTTTTTTTTTTTTTTTTTTTTATAATTGTCAAAAGATTAAGATATACCAAAAGGAAGTAAGTGATTTGAAAGCCTCTATTCAGCTCCTGGAAGAAGAAAATATCAGTTTAGTAACAAAACTGATTGATGTCAGACTTCAGAATCTGAGAGTACCCAGGTAAAACGATGCCTTTACAGACTCAAAAGTGGTTTACTTTTTTTAAAAAAGATAATGCCTTCTTCTGCCTTTATAGCTATTTGGGTTCTCCCTCAACAAAGCTGAGGTAGTTTCCTGGTTGAGGGGAGGTAGGATTTGTTTAAATATGTGTGGGACTTGTGTCTCTGAAGGATGACATTGACACTGTAACCTCCTAAATACAAAAATTCAGGGAGGAAACTGGTTTCTTTAATAATCTGTTAAGACCTAGTGACACTCGCTTTCTTTTAGTGGGGATACCATTGGGACTTGGAAATAGTTTCTTTCTGTTGTAATTGTCTCAGACCCAGCTTCCCAGACCAAGTGCTGAATAACATTTTTCCTTTACTGTTGGCAAAATGTTTAAGGATGTGGAGATTAATACACAGATATATGGGGTTTTGCAATCTCAAGTGAAACAGATGACCTGGTACTGAGTAAGGAAGAGGCTTGAGGATAGATCTGTCTTCAGAGCTGTCCATAGTATTGGTTTCTTTTGTACTGAAATTATTTAACTTGTTCCCTGGAGAAAGATTAATTTAGCTGCAAAATGTCAACACTAATGGTAGTAAAAGAACAATGTAACAATGGGAATAGTCCATCTTCATTTTCCAGTCCCGGCTCAGTGATTTTAGCCATACTGCATAAAAAAGTTCCAAGTCCTGAGAAGTGACCGTTTTTCTCTCCTCTCAAAAGTTTGGACTGCTTTTAAGTGAGAGCTGCCAGCTGTGGTTTGAATCTTGGACTGACTGGAGACTATAACATTTGTTTTCTTTTAGTCTCATGGACATAGTTGAACTTAGGCAATAAGAATAAAAAAGAGCAGCTTATTAGCCACTAAGCTACCTGGCTGCCTCCATTGCATTTTTAAACCATTGCGCTATTCTGCATTTGTGGTTAAGCAGCAAATGGCTTTCAGAAAGGGTGCCCTCTCCCTCAGCCCAAAAGATTGCACAGAATAATTTAGAGAAAAAATCCAGACCTCTAAAATGAGTTTCACTTTATCTTTTTAATTTCATAGGCATTTGTTTCTTACCCAGGCAGCTGACTTGCAAGATGAATTTCCTAAGGAAGAAATGAAAGAATTAGAGTATAAAGAGTATGCAGGTAATGCACATGTCAGCAGCATGTAAGAACTGATGAGTTACTGAATGTTTGCATACTTTTTATTTCTTAAGTTTTTTATCAAACTGCCTGTTTGACATGGTGAACACATTAATATCCCAGTTAATGAAGGACCGTAGTTTGTGTTAAGAAGACAATCCCACAATCTACCTGTAATACAGTTTTAAAATTTAAAATGGTGTTTAGATTGTTGCATGTAATTACTCACATAGACCTAGCTTGGAATGTGGTTAACAGGATTTGCCATCTGTTATGAAGATATGATTCACACTGATCCATATCATCGTAACTTCATTATATCTTGTCCCTGAGAGGACACTTTCACTTGAAGTGTACATGCACTTTACAGTCATTCAACTCATGGAGATACACTGGAGTTAAATTATAAATAAATCCATAGCAAGAGCAGATGAAGCTAAATGGAGCTCAGACTAAATTGAAAATCTTGGTACTGAGTTTTGGGCCGAATCTCCACCTCTTCTGGTGTGTGTGTCCAGGAAAAAGATACACCATTAGACAAGGACGGTATGAGTGTGCTTATCCATTCAGGGTGGTTTGTATGGGTTCCTTAGTATCACATGTTTTATGTACTCACTTGTGTGAGTAGAAGAAAGGGGGGGAAAAAAGGGCAAAATTAAATTGAAGAGGTAAGTTCCAAAAATTGAAGCTATACAGTTACAAATATGCGAACAAGTCTGTTCTGATCAGTTCCAGCCATAGGTGTGCCTTTCTGGAACCAGCAGGCATCAGCAAACTTGTTGACTAAGACTTCTATAGGTTTACTTTGAACGATTCAGCTCTATTAACTTTGCTATACCTTTGCAATAGTTACTGGAAGGAGTATATTTTGTTCCCATAAGCTGGGGTCAAGTCACTGTCCTAGGTGAACATGTAACTTGGCAGTCCATGTCCAGGTTTGTCTATCAGCCTCAGAATTACTCAACTCCAAATGTGAGCTCTTCTGGGGAGTTGCAAGTAGACTAGCTGTGTTTCAGGAACTTGTACGTATGTACAACATATAGAGATATATACATGGATATAGAAAAGCTTTTTACTTGGTTTTGCTGCCTTTCCTATTCTTTTTGACTATTCATGGCTATATAGGATTTAAGTTGAACTGATAAAAGCTGATTTTCCCCCTGCCCCGTCCCACAGACCATTACTTCTAACTTCCAGTCAGTTTCAGTCCCTGATCTTGATCAGAAATGGTGAGCAGAAATATAGACAAATTAGTGAGCAACATCAACATTTGGCTTGGATTGCCAATTAAAAATCTTACCAAGCTGTTGATTGCACCACACTGGCCAAGCCACATTAAAGATTGCAGGCAATGCTCATACTGCATACTAATGCTGATCTTCATAAAGCTTAACAGTTACGTACTCATCATTGTTCATATCTTTAAAAAGCGAAAGCAGATGGAGATGAAAGCCTCAGAAGTGCCACAGTCCCCTGTCAGAAAAATAAGGCCTTTGCAAAGATTCAGTCTAAAACAGAGAAGGAGAAGTATCAAGACAGTGATGAGGAGCCGCGGGAAAAGTCTTTCACTCCAACTCTTGACAGCTTGTTGTATGAAGATGAAAAAGTTTTCCAGGTAAGAGTTAAAGTAATCGAGTCTTTCACTGACACAAACATATTTCAGTGTAAAGCACATGTTACTGCCAGGAGGGTTCTATTCCCAGTGGTGTTACGGCAGAAAAACCTCCAATGTTTTTTACCTAGTGTACAATTCAGATCTTAATCACAGGCACCTGGTGCTATCTGAGATGCTGAGGACACTCCCTGGCCTTCGGATGCTGGGCCAAAAGAGTATACGTCCTGTCATGCAGGTCAGCCTCAGCCTCATGTGGATGTTTGGGATGCCTTAGGGCATTTCCGATAGCACGAGACAATTGAATGGTGTCATAAGAATCAGCAGATGTGTCAGGATGGAATTCCCCCTAGAAGGAATCCGGAATGTCACCTAGTGACAGTTTTCTGTGGCACTGCACAGACTTGTTTGCTTGGATACTGGTCCTTTAGAATTTATGTTGCATAGTAGCATTAAAGGATCAATAAGGAATATATTCCTTCAACAGAAAGCCAAGATGAATCTGTTCCTGGGTGCAAAATACAGGGGTTGAGAAAAGAAAAAGGTACAGGTTATACATAAATAGGCAGTTTGTGATTCTCAAAAGAGGTGGTGGCACCTGCTCAGGAGATCTCTGATCCTAGGTCCCAAAAAGATGTTTCCTGGATGCCTTTGGTACTACATCCTGAGTTATAAAAACTTGAATACATTTCTAAATAAACTAATTTATCTCAGAAAATATATTACTCTACATCATCAATTTCTACTGCGAATTAAAGATGATACAGACGTGGTACACAATGCAGGGCTTGCTGTGTAAAGATACATCTCTGTGTTTCTCTACTCTTAAATAATCTGCTCAAACATTCCCAATATTTAGTTTAAAAAACAAAATCCCAAACCCCAACAACTCTTCTAGAAATCTGGCTTTAGTTTGATTAATACTCTGCTTCTTGTGTTCCAAGAAATCATCTTGCCTTGATCAGAGACTAACTTAAGGAATGGCTCTGTCCTGAAGAGAAAAGCTGAACACTTAACAAAAAAAAATTCTCTCCAGGTGTTTGTTTATTTGCATTTCTTGCCTTGGGAAAGGAATGCTAGCTTTACTCCTTTCTCCTGGCTGTTAGCACTGCAGAGCCCACCCCCCCGAGGGCCATAGGTGTTGCTGAAATCCTAACAGTGAAGGCCGAATTGCAGACAGTGGAGTTGCATTGGCAACTATTATGAAAGCATTTATTAAATAGAGGTGAGTCAGGAGTTTGCACTGTAGGGTTCCTTCTTCCCCATCCCTGGCCTTGGCTGAATGGTCCTGCTCCTGCTCTTAGAAAACCCATAGTGCACATCAGCCTGTAGCTGATTCACTAACCCAGCAGCAAAACTTGCCTTTTTTTCTCTTCCTGAATTAGTTTTCTGTTGGGTTAGTCAACCAAATTGACCCAGAGGTTTAGAGAAGACCTGAGCCAGCACAGATGTGGTGGAAGCACATGGCTGGACTTGGACCTCTCTCCTTTGGCAGTAGAGAGCTGTTGGATTATTTTAATTCTTCTCACAGAACTGAATTTGGGAGCAGAATTTGGTTTGCAGAGAAAGCGTTATTGGTGCAAACACATGGGAAAAGAAGAGGGCAACAGGGCTGCAGCCTCCTAAGGTGAACTGGCTTGCAACGGGAGCCTGTTAACTCTGACATTACCAAACATAACAACCCCAGGGCACCGTCTTTACAGTTGCTTTTAAAAGGAAAGTTGCTGGGTTTTTTTTGAAGAACTGCTGCTTTTCTGTGTAATTGCAGAAGAATAATACTCTTTCTTCTTAAGGAATACTTAAAACTGGGCCCTCTGGAAACAAATCTAATTGTGGTTGGAAGAGCCATGCCTATTCATAAAGAACCAGAAGAAATGCCAGGCAGGAGCCACACAGAAGATGGCATTATTGGTAAATCAGACGGGCACATCACAGCTCAGATGATCAAGGCCTTGTCTAAAGAAAAATTTGGTTAAAAATAGACAAGCTGTGCTGTTAACAAATGTAACATTCTCAGTTCATCATTAAACACTTGCTCTGATCTTCAAGGAGTATGTGGCACTGGGCTTTGTGGAAACTGTTTTTGAGTGCCTGAATCATGATTTACACATATGAGTTTAATGAGAGGTATGTCTGTGTGCAGATGGCTAATTGACAGGTCGCTTTCCCTACCCCTGTGAGAACTCCTGTGTACTTCTGGGGCTTTCTCAGTCCACGTAGCTGCACGTATATCTAATAAAAGATCTGAGTTAATATTTATTTTTTGTGGTCCCCAGTTGCAGTCTGACGAATATGTAATTCCTCCTTGATCAGACACTGAATGGGTAAACGCAGGCTGCCATAAAATGTTACAAAATACTTAATACTCTGCTAAAGCAGAATCTAATTTATCCAAGCATAATTCAACTGTTGCTAGAAATTGAATGTTTGAATGCATTTTAGGTCTCCATAAAATCCCTACTTAAATATATTGAAATAACCAAAATTTAACTGAAAAAAGTAATAATAAAAAGTATAAAGTCTTAATTTTTTTTTTCTTTACAATTGGCCAAATATGTTGTGTAACTCTCTATCTTTGGTTTGTGGCTAGTCTCTATGAGCACGTATCTTAGTGTGTTGATTCAGTGGGTTTTTTCCCACTTCCTTTGCACATCCTGAACACCCTACCAGGGGTACACAACACAGTTACTTCCCACAGGCACAAGTAAGCTTCTGGCCTATGCATTTCATATTTAGAAACTTCTAAAAGCATTGAATAATCTGATTTAAATCCTTGGCGGGTTAATCGGCTGTTTGGAATAAAGCTTTTTAAAAACCAAACATTTTAAGCAGCCTGTATCTATGCAGTGTCTCATCCTGCTCTTTAGTGCAAATATTTTTCATTTTTCAATTGAGCTCAGCTACTCCTGCCCAGTAGGCGTCTCCTTGAGCTGCAGGTGAGTGAACTGGCCTCCACCGGCTGCAGCTCCTTGGAAACAGGGCTCACAAGAGACATGGGAAGGTAGGAGCTTTCATCTCAGACCTAATCTCACTCGTGTTGCCGTGTAGCAAACAGTCAAAATGAGTTTGGACGCGTCTCTGCTGTAACCCAACCGAGCCACCACAAGACTGAGGTGACTCCTAGTGCTCAAGTGTTGAGAGAACAGGGATCAGTACTTGCGAGGCGGTAATGTTTTCAGCACGACAGAAACCTCCCCCTCTTCTCTGAGTGAAGTGCAAGCCCCATGAAATGGCTTATTTGAAAGAGAGATTAGTTCTGCTCCGTGATTAGTTTAGCTTTTCCTTTAGTCGCAGAATCAGAATGTGGCTTATGCTGAACAGCTTTTCAGTTAAAGAAAGGCCTCTCCTTCTTCCCACCGCTCCCCAAAGGGCGTTTACCTTTCCTAGTGATGTACATGTAGGGACCATCTCTCGGCTTCTCTTTGCTTACGCCCAGCAAGCATGCCACCATGTGTGGGACATACGGCAGGGCAACATAAACACGGACCTTGGAAAAAAAGAAACTTCGCCTCTTCAAGTCACTGTTTAGCCTTTCACCATAAATGCCTGTGTGGGTGAGAGGGAGTTAAAAAGGAATCTGAAACATGCTAATTAGGTTACAAGCCACAGGCAGCCTGCACCAGCCAGAAGCAACAGCCTGTAGCAAAACATATTTAGTGAAGTGTCCCAAATCCCCTTGATTTCTATAGGATTAGCATTAAGGCCACCGTGAGGCTGTTATATGGAGAAAGCTAGGTCTTCAGCAAATGCGGCAGCTGGATTTGATAATTTCGTTACTGGCAAAATCTCTCAGAAATGAGCAACATGTAAAACAAGGGGCTGAGCAGTCCACTTTCTGGCAGCACGGCCAATGCTCCCAACTCAGACAATGGGAGTCAGGGCTCACTACTCCAGTTAGGGCAAAACTTAGAGGAGTCACCCTTAAATTCCCAGCATTAAGAAACACCTTTCCTTTACTGTATTTCTGCTGTGCAAGACAACTCTAGGACACTAGTTAGGCTACAAGATCCAGGAAAGCATCCATATGTCCTCACAACTGTAATCCAAGCAAAGCCTCGATTGAGCTGGAGTTACACATTTAACTGGCACAAAGAAACTTGCACTTTCAACAGGGAAAAAAACCTCACAAGTGTTCACTGGAAATTCAAAGTTAAAGAAATATGAGCGTTACCCAAGTTGCATGTAAGTGTGTGGTAATAAAAGCCTTTTTAATAGAACCAAAGTCCATTTGCTGGAACTGAGAAACATCAATCCAGCAAATGCCTAAAAAGCACACTGGAGCGGGGTAGACTCTCGCCTGGATCCTCTCCAGTGCTGAAAGGAGCCGCTTACCTCAGCACGCTGCTGGGTTGAACCCGCGCTGAGCCATTTCCCTGTAGAGGCAAGCAATTGGACTGTATGGCTTTAGAGCCTGGCTCTGCAAGTCTGATCTCTCCCCAGCCCAAGCTGTGGGGAATGGAGGTTACTTAAAAACCAGACCAGAAGTTGAGAGGTTTGCAGCCTCCAGTGCAGCTCGGTTATATAACAAGGCAATCCTTCCACAGGCTCAGACCTGTGTGTTTTGGGAAATGAGGGGAGGAAACTTGTTCTGCAGCATTTATTCTTGTTTGGCTACTTTCTGAGAGAGAAGTTATTAAACACTCTGCTTCTGTGGGCTAAAAGGAGTTTGCCACAATAAGGTCAAGGCAGAAGCTAATGGACTGAAAAGTTACACTACAGTGACAAGCAAGGAACAGAGAATCTAATGGTATTCGTGTTTTAAGCCACTGATGTTTTGCAGCTGGGTGTTCCTCTGAAAAAGATTTTCCCTTGAATTTTGAGTCCACTGTAGAAGTAAGGATGTTTCTTGGTAACACTGCACTTCAGAGCTCGCCTTCTGCAGACTACCACAAACACTGTGTTGGTTTGGGACAGGACACAGTAACGATATGCCAACAACCGCTGCCATATGTGGCCCACCGAACATCCTCCCTGAGCCGTGGAAAAAAGGACTTGACATGGGGCTGGATCTTTTCCTCACTTTTAAGTGCAGAAAGAGGCTAAAATTGAGTCAAATAATGCTCTTCTAGAGACTACTTAGGCAACTTCTGGAGCTGGCACGGGGAAGCTCAGCAGTTACCACGCTGAACGCTCTGAAAACAAGCCCGAGAGCTCAGGTCTCCTCGTGTGCCGCAGCTGCCGGATATCCAGAGCACTGTGCTTGCATCCAGCGCATTTTCAGTACCGTTATCAGCTCACACAACATAACTTTTAAGGAAGTTGGCTGTTTGTTCCAAGGCTTTTTGATCTTTGCCTCAGGAAATTTCATCAGCAGAGAAGCAAGAAAAGAAATAAATGTGTTCTACTCAACTTGTAGACTGATTTATTTTGGGCAAGTGAAATGGATACGGTATTTACTCAGCCCTCAGATACCAAAGGGTGCCAGGGGGGCAGCAGCAGTGTTACACCTTCAGGAGACGCTGCTCAGGGTTCTGCTCCTCACTCCTCCTGGTTTCACGCGTCCCTCCATTCTCCACTGTGATCATGGAAAACAGCAGTAGTAGCTCATCACTCTTTCTTGTTGGGCAAATTCAGCAGAAGCTGTCAAGACTGTTTCTGCTCTCTCCACCGCAGCGTGAGCAAGCTCCAAGGGTCAAGTCAGAAGATTGCCAACAGGCCAAGGAGAAAGCTTTTATTTAGTTTACATATGCTCCCGTTATCATTGCTTTTTCTTCTGTATTCAGCACATTTCTTCACTACCTCTAACATTATCTTGTCAATCTTCTCATCAGCATTTCCTATCTCTCCCAGTGTTTTTTGGCACCTAATTCTCATTTTTCTGCCACAATCTTTATCGCAATTATGTCTTGGCTTTCAAGTTGCAATTCATTTATGTCACTACAAAATTTATACCGGGCTCTGAAAACGGTCACTTTTTGTCTAGTAAGAGATGCAGGGTTTGACCCTGTCCCGCCTTCCTGCTGAAGGGCTGTTTGGCAGCTGGGAGAGTCTGTGACTTACTCCAGTAGCTGGTGGAATGGACCATCTGACATCATGTAAAGTCATGCAAAGACAGTTTTTAAACATTTCCTGGGGTACTGTCAGTGTCAATTTACTGCACAGAACAGTTCAGTTTGTTTCAAAATCATAAAGAACAGAAGCAGCAAAAGAATTGAGGTTTCTCTTCAGATGAAAAATCTACATTTGGGCTTTTAGAAAACACAAGTTACAAGCTGTTCAGGTTCTTGTTCTGGCAAGAGTAACTGTCTCAGGAGGTAAATACAGTTGTTTTAATGATATAGTTCTCCGAGTATAAAAAAAAAAAAAAATTATGACATTCTGACACACTAGTTTCCTTCACAAAGCTCTAAAAGGAACCACACTCATACAGTTCACATTTTTGATATTCTGAGTACAAGCAAAAAACTAAAAAGTTGTTGTTCTCCAGTGGTGCAGTCCCTTGTTGAACACCTCAGTTGTAGAAAGGTAAAGGTTTAAGTAAACAGTCTATTAAATGCCCCAGATCTGGGTGTGTGCATCATATACAAGTAACAGGCTCAGGCTTTTTTTTTAAATTCATGATTTCAGAAAGGAATTTTAAATCTACTGGTCCATATTGACAGTTTTATGTTGTACACCCCTCAGGACAAGTTGCAGGTTAGTTGAGGAAAGTTCCACTTCTATCAAATCTCCCTGGGATGAAAACTAGTGTCTCATGGCAGACGATGCTCTCAGCAAACTGTTTGAAGCATCTCCGACCTCACCTTCTCCTGGAAGATTAGGGAAGACACCTAAATAATTTGGGGGGGCATATTTGTGCTTCTTGCTCAGTCACAAACAGTACAAGTTTATTGCCATGAATATTTTGAAAAACTTGAAGATCGTGGCTATCACATTAAGTAAGGAACCCAGCTCTTAATGAGATAACTCATTATTTGTAGTGGAACTAAGGCCGTCTACTACAGCACCGCCGGGAGGATGCTGCATAGATCATGTCACTCAGATTCACAGTGCTGCCCTTCCTGTAATACAATATACACATATGAAATATGTTTGGTATTTTATTAAGTAA